CTGTTTGAAACAAACTCACTGTTATTATTATTGTTATTACTATTATTATTATATATAATGTTCTCAATTCGTACTTCGAATATTTTTGACTTTATACTGTAAATGTGGACAAATTCCTCTTGTTAATTTTGTTTTAATTCTTAATTTTATTAATATTTTAAGTAAATCAGATGCAATATTGTAACAAATGCTGAGAATTCCATTCTGTATTATAAGTACTGTTTTTGGAATAAAGTAGATTATTATTAGTTATAACAAATTGGCAACGGGCCGGTTCCGTTCACTCATAACAGTCTTCGAAATGACAAACTTTATCTCTGAGAGAGATATGGTGGGCTGATTTAAATGACACTCTAATTTCAGCCTCACTAAGAATCCTACGTAGGGTTTCTGATGTTCCTGATTAATTTGGCAGTACTATCCAACCTTTGAGTTCTGTAATCTTTATGTTATTTTCATTACCTCCATTGTAACGGTAGATGGCAAGAGACTTGGTAAAGGAGTGTTTATTTGCAATTTGGTAACTCTATATGGTGAAATCATGTACACCTTATCTTCAACGCACCATTTGTGCAGATATTCCGTCGTGTTGTGCTACTTCTGCCCTTCACCTTGTGTTGCGCTTTGTCTTCTTCTCGTGCCTCTCATGTTTTACCGCAAGACTGGTTCATTTTTTCTCTCTGACATCAAATCTATCTACTCGCTATTTGATATTTTTATGCTGATGAACATCTTTTTATATACTACTGATGAGTTTTATCAGTAGCACATGCTATATCATTACTACTCTTATCCATAAATTTGTTTACAGTTATAGTGGAGATATTGCTGACCCCATAGTCACCTCATTTGTTTGATTATGTTGTGATATGACTGTGAGCAGTAAACTGTGCTCAAAATGTCATTTATTGATTAATACTTTTCTAGTGTGTGTTATTTCAAATAAACTTATCTAATGTGGAATTACATTCCACGCTTACATTACTAAACCCATTTGTTTGTTTGTGTATTTAACTTTGTGATTTGAATACAGTGAAAGCTAGAGGCTTGAAGTTTCGCTGGCAGTGGGGTTCATTTTTAAGGCATGGATTTTCTAGCCTCATGTTTAACCTTCCCTCTTTACCAGTCTTACTCCTGGCTTAGTGAGGTAAAGGAGTGCATCATTGGTTGGGGATCGTACCCCAAACCATATGCTTGGTTGGTGAGTATCCTACCGCTGTGCTAACAACGCAAATTCATTCGGATATTGATGGATAAACCCTGATCTTATATATTTTATTAATCACACTCATTCAAATGCACATGACTAATATTTCATTATGTAAATATGAAGCTTGATGAGAATTCCCCGAAAATGCATATTTGTTTAAATCGTGTTCTTTAAACTTCAAACATCGAAATTAATCATTTTAAAATCTTTTTCTATTTGAACATCATCAAACTTTCGTTTTATTACGTATGAATTAGTTCACCTAGTGTCTTTTCCTAGACTCCTACTTGGCCCTTCACTGCTTTAGAGGAATAAACTTATTAGTGTTCGTTGTTTTATGTACCATTTTAACGTCAGTTTCAAAAGAGTGATTGCTTAGTAAACAGTATATCATCGGAAAAATTTGAAAATACACGACAACCACTAAGAATCTAGATTTCAAGACTGAATTCGATGCATCAATTAAATATCAAAATTGGAATTTATTATTGTTATTGTTTACTTTAGTTCCCAGAGGAACATAGCGCTTCAGAAGCACGTCTCCATTGCATTCGGTTCTTTGCTAACGTTTTCACCTGGCTCCACGTCTGCCCACATGCTTTCATCTCCTCTTCACGTGACCTCCTCCATGTCACCCCACCCTCTCACTGACGACCAACTCTCCACTTCCTATTCGCGTTCCACTCGAGCGATGGCCTGACGTGTGGTGTCACTTGGTAGTTTGATTTCTCAAACTATGGCCTCCAATCCACCCCCATTCCTTTCTTCTTATTTGTTGCACAATCGGTACTTGGTGGGTTGGTTCTCTCATTGCCAGAGATCTCTGTTGCTGATCTTTTCTGGCCGGCCATTTGATGTTGAGTAGTACTGAGCGAAGACAGTTGTTGATGGAGGTCTTTAGTTTGTTCGAAGTGCCCATCGTGACGCACTGGCCAAGTCTCTGATCCATCCGTATAGTAGCACTGACTGACTTAACATTGCAGTTGAAAATCCGGATCTTGTTTTTCATGCTGAATGCTGTTGATCTCCGCACAGACTTGGGACTAATGAAAGCTTGCCTTGCTTTCCCGATCGTCGCTGCTTTGATATCCTCATCAGTTCCGTCCATCTGTAGTTGAAATGACGCTTCCCAGGTAGGTCAGTAGGTGAAGGAGGTTGGTTCTTTCAGATTCAGTTTCTCCCATTTATAAAGGCTGATCGTTGTCTGTTGTCTGTCGTTGTTGCTGTTGGCCAAGAATCTTCATCATCACCTCTGTCTTCTCTATGTTCAACTGAAGTCCTTCCTATCTTCCCTGGATGCTCCTTCTATCGTCAACTTGTCGCTTTTCACTCGCATATCTTCCAGTTTGTGGGAAATCAAACAAATATCATTGACGAACTCCAGATCCTCCAAGTTTTATTTATGGGTCCATTTTGTGCGTGTTTCCTCGCTGCCCGCCGCTGTCTGTCACATTATCCAGTCTACCACATTCAAGAAAATCATTGGAGATAGTAGGCAGCTAGCCAGTCTTGTTTTACTCCCGTCTTCACTTCGAAGGACTCCGTGAGTTTCCGGTTGTGGATTACTTAGCAAGCAGAATTGTCGTACAAATGTTGGATGAGGTGTAAGCCAAATTAAAATTAATTTTGTATCTAGTTAAGACGTACCTGCAACGCTGAATTAACGAATATATTCTCAGAGGTTAGAAAACACCTCCGAAAGGGTACCAGATGCATATCTCCATTCTAATTTGTTATCCACAGTCTCTTTTAGCTGACTCCACAATCGCCCATTACGTTTCGATTCCTCCTCACATTTTGTCCTGCATGTCATCTGGGAGCCACACCAAACTCGTCGTTTCACATTTGGGTTCAAACTGAAGATCTGCTGCGCTACGTTCCGTCTCCTCGGCGTATGTCCACATCATCTACTATTCCTCCTTCATATTAGTTAGGCAGTGGGTTACTTATAGACTGACTGCCGGACTACCTTGTTTATCCGCTTATCTGATACTGAGGATCTAGCCGGCGATGGAATTACTTGATGAAAGTCTTCAATAGTACGTAAGAAAGGTGCGGAGTGAATGGCTGATGTTATTTGTTGATAGTCGAATGGATGTAAAGTTTACTATTTTAAATTAAATCTTTGTTTTATATCTTAGTGTATATAGCTAGTTTTATTCAAATGTGTAAAGATCCCACAATAGAAAAATATCGTAATAGGGTTAAATGTTCCTTTGTCAAACTAACATTTCCTGAAATGTATTGGAAAAAGTTCTATGCCAGCTAGACAAACTTTCATCAATCTGAAATCAGTGAGGAAGTCAACTGCACTGAAAAATACAAAAACAAGATTCAGATTTTCAACATTAGTGTCAAGTCAGTCACTGTTTCTATATGGCTCAGAGACTTTAATTAGCATGCACTCACTTTGCTCCATTGTGAAGATTAGATGGCCTGTTAGAATGGACTGGAGACAAGGAACTCCGCCAGACAAACAACTAACCAAAGACCTATTACCCAACAAATATCCAGAATAAAATGGAGATGGCTCAGATGCATTCTAAGGAGACCACTGAGTGTTATCTCACTCAAGTGGAACCCATCCGAATGTGACACTGTAGAGATCGTGTGAGTAAGTAGGGGATGAGAAGGAGGATCCTGAGAAAGATGACTGCAGAAAACAAGATGAATTGTAGATTTACCTGTTGAAGTCCTATACTCCACTCTGAATCCAAGGGAATTGTAATATAATATATAACAACAATCATGTTTACTTAAATCATAAAACTTCTTAACGTTATGCTGTGAAAAATGCGGACACCGTCTGTTTCAAAAATAGCCCATTTGAAACAGAATTCACCAGAAGTAAATGGTTGAAATTTTGTTGATTGTGTTTTATTTCATTAAACATTACAGTCTTGTTCTCCATTGGTGTGTTTCATATTACGACAGATTCAACTTATTATCCTTTGATTAGGATTTTTCTTGTGATACTGACTTGATCGCTGACGGGAACAAGTAAAAACACAATATTTCAGAACCCCGCGCTCTTTAATGCCTGCCTAATTGATGTCCATTCATGTTATGGTCTACAATGAATACGAATCAGAATCCTCCACATATATTCTAAACAATCCGTAATGTTTGCAAATAAGAGTGATCAGTAATAACTTGAATCAATTTGGTGTATGGTTACTAGCAGTAAAATCCAGGATGCGCATTCTAATCTTTTTAGCACTCGTCATCTGGAAGCGCTTGCATTGTCTAATGATAGATGATGTTCCCACTGAGGCTCGAACCCAGTACCGGTCGTTTCAAACGCCCAAACGTTATCCAGTCTACCACTTGGGCCACAACAGTCACCTGTTGTGCAGTGAGTGTCCGTTATCACTTATTTTGATTTTCCTGTTGGGCGACTCGACCAAAATGTTCAGCTTTGGAGTTGAAAACGATGAGTACTCGATTCGAGCCTCAGCAGGAACACCATCAGTCAATTAAGGATGCAGGTAAGTCCAGTGACGAGTCCTGGATAGGACGAAACGCACCTCCTGGATTCCACTGCTAGTCACCATCCTCAGACATTATCGAATCGCCTGCACAAAGAGCCAACAGGTCAACAGAAGCCGTAAGAAATTTCTCTCCAATCAATAATCTGCGGGGAAATTTAAAACAGAATATAAAATAAATAAATCATAAGAGTGGAAGGTACTTTTATTAGCAATGTAGGTAAGATTTTCATTTTTATGTTATTCCACTTATTTGACTATTTGAATGACCATTATTTTTTAATTCTTTTATTACGTTTTAGTGTTTAGAAATATTCTCTCTTTCTCTCTGTCTAACCTGGAAGGCAAGATCTTTTGAAAAACTTCATCATATTGTCTGTAACTAAACAATAATTATGACTACAAATATGGGATTATTGTTATATTTGAAGGAGCTAATAATTTTAACCATCAAAGTAATCCTTGGCATTATTTATGATTGCTTTGAAACACTGAAATTGTACGCGTTCCCTGTTTACAAGGATATCAGTGATGATGTTATATTAATTACAGGTGAGTAATTTATCTAACTGAAGATGCCTATCAGGCCATTTACAAGACCGACATCAGTGGGGAAAGAATATATTCTTTTCGACAAATTTGTCATCAGATCCTGCATTTTTATACGACCATTATAATTAGAGAAATATTGTTTTAATAAGAACGTTAATGCTGTTTTAAATTACACTGAATCATTAACAGTATCGATAGATTACATTTCAAGAGCATCCATCTTTAAGTGATAGTATAGCTGCTGAAGAGTCGTAAACTAGGCTGACGAAACAGCTGAGCAGTACTCCGCGCCGGTTTTCCAATGGTTCTCTAGCTGATGTCAGTTCATGATGAAATCCTACATCCAATCAAACAAGAAATTCAAATGAACTGTCGTCAAGATTTGACAGAATAGTTCTAAAATATTTGGGTGCCGAGTGAGAAGTAGACATTTGTAAAAAATTATATTTGTAAAATCTCAGCGAGATTGAAATAATTAATTCCAACGTTTCGTTCTGCAATCTGGTCCGAACTTCTTTTACAAATGTCTACTTCTCAGTCGGCGCCCAAATATTTTAGAACTATTCTGTCAAATCTTGACGACAGTTCATTTGAATTATTTTGCTATCGAATTAAATTAAATTAACAAAGAAACTATGTAATTGGCACAATCATCGTGTTTTCACTCTCCGTTGTCTGCAACAGAATGCATATTCTAAATCCGTAGCTGTCGAGTCACCTGACAACTCCAGTAGGTCGAATAAAGCAGCTCAATCTTCAGAAAGAAGACAAAGCAATAAGTCCGACAGGGTGCTTCTACTAAACTCTAATCCTAAACACCATAATTTTGAAAATACGTCTAATCATAAAATTCTAGATAGTAACAGTTGGAACAGACATGAAGGTGTGATGTTAGCTGATGCATAGGAAATCCTGATTAATAAATAAAAATGGATATGTATCACTTATTATTAATACTTGGTCAAATTCCCGACTGTCTATATCTTCTAATGGAAACGTTAAGAAATGTTTTGCAACTGTTTACCCACACACACATACACACTCTGTTTAAAGTGTTTAACAAAGGTAGACCAATATTTGTAAGTCCGAGGTCAAATTTTGATTATAGCTCATAGAAAATTTTGTTTATTATACTTGTTGATACTTGTTGAATGACTCATGATTGGACAAAGTTTTTAAAAACAAGAGATGTTCCTTTTTATATATAAACCTCTGTTATGTTAATTTCGATTAATTTCCCTGAAGTTCGGACCAGATTACCGAACTCAGGAAACGTTGGAATTACTCATTTCAATCTCGCTGAGATTTTACAAATATAATATTTAACAAATGTCAAACAAGAAATCCCTACAAAACAAATACTTGAAAAAAATAACAATAAACTGGATATCAGGTAAATTAAGGGAAGTAATACAGAAGTTATGAATTTACAGGTTCCTACAGAAGGCCAAGGTGACAACACTGGTTGAATCTGTTAATTTCGGACATACAGCTCCGGTTGCTTCAAGGGAATTGCAGTGGCCACTGCTGTGTTGGATTGTTCAGTATCTACAGGCTTTCAGTAATTTATTCGATACCCGATAGATGAGATGATAGAGGAAGACTCTTTCTTCATTGTCAGCCTTATGACTCCTTTCCATGAGGTGATTTAATATAGAACTGTTGACGGTTTAAACAACACCTTTACTCATCCATACTGGCTTGACGCAAGCAGTTGAATTCATGGATACACTTAGAGGTGGCTAGCCTGTGTTCTTTGTCTTTTGATTTCAGAATCACAATCGGTTGTGTGGAAAATATCAGCTACAGCTTGCCGGCATTAAACATTCTTTGAATCGATTTTCTCAACTTCTTGGTTATTACTTTAGTTGGTATATCACCTCTGAATTGTAGTCGTATATATAGAGAGGCTTCTTCTCAACAGATATATAAGAGTTCTTTCCTAATCTCTTAGGTGTGTGTTTCGCGGTGAATGTTTCAGGTTAGTTGTTTTCACTTATCATGCCATATAAAACTTCTTCGTCTTTAATCGTAGATTCTGAACAAATAGCTCTGATGCTATAGACAAGTGCCTTTACTAAATTTCATTTATATTAGAGTGGAACAAAGTTGTGAAAATTTCTTTATATACTGGTTCAAGCACTTTCATTATGCAAATTCCTTCTCACGCTACTGTCCATCTGGTCATCTTGTTAACAGGATGCCTAAAATGGCAATTTTACTTTGAAATTCTCAGACACACGTTAGCTGAAAATACTTTATCGAGTTGAGATATGATTGAGCTCCTGTCCAGATTATTTTAAAAAAAATAAGGGTGTCATCTATATACCAGTAATAAGATGAGAATTTCCCGATAAGACCACTCAGGACACCATTTTCTAGTTTACTCAAAAACAAATCTGCTTCATGGGACCCTTTGGGAATCACATTGCCACTCCATCTATCAGCCTATATAGTGCACTATCAATTATAAAATTCACATTCATGGTACACCTAAACAACATTTCTTTATGGATTTCTACTGAGATCCCAATATCCATACACTTCAGAACAAAATAGTAAGAGTGAACAATTGTGGTTTCAATAAATTCTACTACTCCAGACTCTACTATTATAAATAGACAAATTTAAGCATACAATAGCCAGCCAGCCAGCCAGTAAAGGCAAATTAGAATCATATCAGAAATGTGTATTGTGGAACAAGTATAAGATGAAATAATTTAATGATATATATAGATATATGTGTATACATAGTCAACAAAAATACAGATTTCGAGAGTGAGTGTAATCAGGATGTGTGAGACAATATGACTACTACAGAAAGTAAACCAACGAATCGTGAGGACTAGAGATAAGTTCAAGGTTGAAAATAACGACAATAAGAATATATTTAATTCAATTTTAGATTTTCCCGTCGATTGACTGAACCGAAGTGTTCGGTTTCAGGTTGTAAAATAATAACGATGATGTGGTGTAAACTTAAAAGTACTATTGTTGAATGACTTTCAAATAATAATAATAATGAATTTAGTGAAGTGGAATGAACAGGATTTTGTAAATAGGATAGCAAGTTAGAAAAGCACTACTTAAACCTAAGGTAATAGAATCATAAGAAAGGTCATGAAATCATAATAGTCGAAAATCAACGTTTCTCAACGAAACAAAGGAATAGAAGAAGAAGAAAAGAAAATTGTGATAGGAATTTGAAGGGCTAATGTCTATGGAGGATTTCTTGGCCTTATTGTAGGCCAAGATAAACATAGAGGCTGAACATGCTTCTTCTTTATACAAAGAGTTGGTCTTCTGGTATTGATTGCAGCCGCTTCAGCTACTGATAGAAGACGTAGTCGAGCTCATCTAGATAGATTACCAGGAAGGCGGTAAATAAATGAGAACGCTTGGTCAAGTTTTATCGAGTGTCCAGTATCTACCAAGTGGGCTAAGACTGCACTACTGACGCATTTGGTTACCCCTTTACTCTACAATATAGGTACATGTTCACGCGCGCGCATGGATAAAGCCTTCTGAGTACGGCCGACGTTACTAGCTCCACATGAGCAGTTGACATCATAGATACACATTGATGAAGCCATCTTTGGTAATTTATCCTTGACTCATTGTGTGATTACTGGTTTGGTTGAAAAGTTGAGTGCCAGTTTAGCTGCAGAAAATTTTCTCTCTACTGCTCTGTTAAGTTGATATTTTAGAATGTCAGTTGCAATTTCCTCTTTGTAACTTAACTTGTGATATAAAGGTTTCTTATCTACGGTATTCACCTTTACTCTATCTCTAGGTATTGACATATACTTTCTAGGAAGTTCTCTGGATATCCATTTTCTTGCAGTTTAAGTTTCAGTTTATACATTTCTTCCTTAATGCACTCCTCTGAGCATATGCATTTTATTCTATAGCTAAGACACTCCACTAAGTTTCTTTTGTATTGAATCGGTGTGAAGCTATGGAAATGGGTGTACTGACCCGTCCAATTTTTGTTTCTAAATAAGTTCCTTTGTGGATATCCGTCTGTCTTCATGATAAAGAGGACGTCTAGGATAGGTAAACTGTTATTGTCTTCTTCCTCACATGTAAACTGAATAGCTGGGTGAACACTATTAACAGCATTCAGAAGCTCAAATGATGAAGGTGTCATCTACGTATCGACAATAATGTTCAATCCCTTTAATCGTGTCTTTAAGTGGACCATTTTCAAGCTTTGCCAGGATAATAGCGGCTAGCATAGGGCCCAGAGGTGATTCCATGGTGACACCATCAACTTGTCTATTTTTATCGTTCTTGAACATAAACTGAACATTCATAGTGCATTTCAATAATAATTCTTTGACTTTTTCGGATGGGATTCCTACATCTATCTTTCGTTCTATTAGTTTGTCACATTAGGAGTTGATTGTTTCGAGCAATGTGACATTGGTGAATAATGGTGCTACATCCAGTGACATCATTTTCTTTCCCCTTACATCTTATACTTGTTCCATAATACACATTTTTGATATGATTCTAATTTGCCTTAACTGGCTGGCTGGCTATTGTATGCTTAAATTAGTTAATGGAATTATAATTGTAGAGCCTGAAGTAGAAGAATTTATTGAAACCACAATTGTTCGCTCTAACTATTTTGTTCTGAATAAATTATGGGAATATTCAAGTTATTCATGGACTTGTTATTGATTTGTTCACAGCTACAGTTAGCCGTTTCAATGAAAGTTACATTTGTAAATAGAGGTGTTACGTCCAAAGATATCATAACTTTATCTTTAATGTTAATATCTTTAATACTGTTTGTGAATTGAAATACATTTTTCACACTATATTTTACTAGCTATCCCATGTAAGGGTTTAAGGTTAGTTAAGAAGCTTCAAGCTAAAGCATGGTAGAGCGAACTGTACATGTTTAGAATCTATCTTAACAGCATTCCAGGTTTATGTATTTCCGATAGGCCGAACAGACTTGTTGAGTATATGCCTGTCGGTCTGATTTGGTC